GACTGCAAACTCTACACTTCACACTGCAAACTCCACACCTCACATTGGGCACGAAACGCCCAACGTTGCATTTCACATCCAGCATACTGAACACTACAAATGAAAACCATACACTGCAAACATTACAGTCCACGCCATGCACACTCCACCCACCAGTCGCCACACCCCGCACGCCAGATGCAAACTCGACATTCCACATGCCTACCTCCGCACTCTAGACACTCCAGAATCACACACACACAGAGAAAAAGTGCAAGATGGCGCAAGGTTCCAAACAAGTATGGGGAAGTAGGCCAAGGTTAAAAAGGAACATGCCAAGGTTAAGAAAGAGTAGGTCAAGGTCAGAAAAAAGTGATCCAAGGTCAAAAAAAAGGGATCCAAGGTCAAAAAAAAGAGGTAAGGTCAAAAAAAAGTGATCCAAGGTCAAAAAAAAGACTTGCCCATTTTTTTCTGTGTTGAGAAGGTAGACTTCATAGGCTGGCTTTCTCTGATTCCTGATTCCAAACTTCCAAACATGTGATATAATCGGAGTGTCGCAACCTTCTTGCAACAGGAAACTCCTGGCGCAACAAACATCTGAGGAATGGAGCTGCCAAATCTTTTCATTGGTCATTGCTTCCATCGGCAATGCCTTCATGTTCATTCCGGGCCTGCCCTTGATGCAGAGCCATGTCCGACATCTAGGCAGCTTGGTGTGTCAACCGCCTGCACCGGAATTGTTTCACAGTAGAACGTGTGACTACATCACAAGAAAACCTGTTCGCAACGTTTCGATTTTTAAACTTTGTGAGATCATTGTACACCTTTTTTCTGGTGTGTGTGTGTGTTTTTTTTGTTTTTTGGTCAAGTCTAGATGAGAGATATCCTAGGTATAGACTTTACTGAACATGACTTTACAAAGTTCCAAGATCCTCCTAGAAATCCTATTGTGCCCGTGTTTTTGGGTTATGTTGGTTTCGTTGGTTGGTTTTGGGGCACTGTTTAATTTATGTTGAGCACAAATGGAGCCATTTTGACCACATGTAGCCTGTGTTGGGACACTGCTGGACCTGATATTTACTGCGTTTTTTTCAATTCTTGGTGTGAGGGAAAGGGTTCGAACCAAGCCAAACTGTCCCAAAACCGACTAACATGAGACCCTGTGGCCGCAAGCTCAAAAGATCCTCAGCATCCTTCCAGATATACCAAAACCCAACCCAAAGTGGGCTGAATCTGGAACGTCCAGGAATGCAATGCACCACTGTTACGACATAGGGCCAATAAACACTGAACTTAGGTTCTAGGTTTGGCAGAGGCATGAACATGACAAACATATGCAATAATTTCTTGTTTGCTGTTTTTCCATGTTTTTTGTGCCTGTGTTGTTTTCCTCTATTAGCCTATTGGCATTGAAATATCTTTTCTTTAATGTGAAGGGGAGCGGATTTGGAGCCCACGTTCACGTTATGTTGGGTCCAAGTTTGGGCATCTTGAGGCCATTTTGGGCCGATAGAGCCCATCTTGACTTTAAGTCCTCTTCCAAAACGCGGAAACGCACACGATTCTATAGCCAAAAAATCCCCATAGCTATTGTTGTTTTTTTGCGCTTCCAGAGTTGGGAAGCAGAAAAAAACGCCGGAGGGTGCCGGATTTCTCACATGTTCTTGAGATTTCTTAACCTGTAGGAGCTGCAGCTGCTGAACAAGTCTCATTGCTGCTGATGATGGCCATGTTCGGTGGCGAATTTATGGGTCCCATCGCAGGTGCCCCCATTAAAGGGTTCAGCGGATTGGCTCGGGCTCTCAAGTCTGACTGGGGTTAGGATACTTGCAGGCATATCCTAATTTTTATTTTGTCATTATTATTATTAAGATTAAATTGTTGAGATCTTTTTCATATTAAGGTTTTTTGTTTGACTAGTATTAAGAGAATCAATTGTTCTATGCTACATCACTGTTTTTCTATTGAGGATTTTCGTGTCACTGACTGCAGGTTGCCCTGTTGCCCTCCTCCAATCGAGCACGTGAAGCATGTGAAATTTGACTCGTTTGGCGAGCCAATCAATCAAACATGACCTGGAAGAGTTACCAATTGGCAATCACCAATATCATATATATATATATACATGTATCTATAATATAATATGTATATACAATATTATAATTGTATACTATATAATATTTGATATGTTAGATCCCCTTAAACATGTAAAAAAATCATGGCAGGACTTCCATTCTTTTCGGTTATTCCATAGTTCCCACAGTACCAATTTCCAATGCTATACGCTATTACATATCCCATATGCTCCATGTATGGAATATTTAGCAACATTTACCCCATACATGGCCCAAATGTAGGTAAATATATACATGGAGGACATATTTATCATCAATTTTATGTCCAAATATGTCCAAATGGACCTACTAAGATATAGTCCATACATGGAGCATATATGGGTATACAAAAAAACGATGCCCATATAAAGTCCGTATCTCAAGCCAGGGGGGGCCTTGGTCCAGCGCTTTGGATTGGACGCCACGACTGCAGCCTTTGCCACGGCGTTGCTACCTCTCTTCGCGTTGACGGCGGCAGAGATCATGAGAGAGATCTGGTACGGCAGTAGCACTGGGGGGACAATGCTTTAGAGGCATGGGAATGATCTTGGGGATTCAACATATATATATATACTTAATATACTGGTTGGTGGTTTGGAACAGGAATTTCATTTTTTCATAGATTGGGAATTTCATCATCCCAACTGACGAACTCATATTTTTCAAAGGGGTAGGTCAAGCACCAACCAGTATATATAGACTATATGAAACTGATTAAAGCCGCTATGGCTCTATAGGTCCCAGTCCAATCTTGAGTACCATCCAGTACCCCATTTTCAGGCAAGCCTATATGGGCTGAATAGGCTATAGAACATGGAGATTTAGGCACTCAGCTTGGTTTTTGTGAAACCATTCATATTCTGATGCAGTTGATATCCCAAGCTGGCATTCTGATGCATTCTGAGCCTAGCTGGTGGAACCATTTTGGTCATCCCACATTGGTCGTTGCGCTGCTTCAACTCCCATGTTGAGACGCATCCTCGGGACCACCCTGCGAAGGAAGATGGGCCCCCCCTGACGCTTGAAACTCCTTTGCTCCGAAGTCTCTCACCAACCGAGGCGGGTTGAGTTGGATCAAATCTTGATTTTTTTTGTTGGATTCAGCTTTCGGGTTGAAAAAAAAAGACTCGCCAAAGTGTTTGCGGGCATTGATTTGGTAGGTATAGGAAAATTCCACATGAAACCGCTAGGAGTCGCAACAGTTGGCGGAGAACTCTTCCATGCCAATGGATCCCGAGAGTGCTTACAGGCGATGATTTTCATCGGGTGGATCAGGACTTGGGGCCTTTTCCGATGTTTTCCGAAAAAATGAGCAGCTGGGTCCAAAATGATGCCAGTTGAATTATCCTATGGTTATTTTTAACATAGCCATGGTATAGATGGCCCATAGAAATAGATGGTTTACCTATTAATAGCATGGTGATTTTCCATGGTTATGTTAGTCATAACCAGATGGTAAAAACTTTAACACTGACGACCAAGTCTGGGAAATGAGAATGTAACATGATGTAATGTGGCAAAGCCAATGCCAGAAACCATCCCCTTCACTGACCATGACCGGGGGTCATTTTATTTACCATGGTTTATTACCTTTGTGGTTGTCATAAGCATCGGAAAATCAACGAAAATTCTCCATCATTGGTCCAATTGGTTAGCTTTCTGATGTGCTAAGGTACACAAGAGACATGACCCACATCCAAATCTGATCGGTTGCACATAGTTCTTACTTTACAGATCTTTACGGTCTGATTTTGAGGAATTAGCCTCAGTTGGGTCGCTCAACCATCAATAATCAATCAGGTCGGGTTTCTGTCAATTCATACTTGAGTATAGATTAGTATATAAATCAAAATCATCAAAGTGAAACCTCCCAAACTCTTGAAGATTGTTATTTTCAGCATCCATTTTGGTGGGTTGTGGCGGGCTGATCCAACAAATTCCTCGGCCCAGGTTTCGACGTTTGGCCTTCCTGAGCACCGAAGGCCGATTTCGGGTTATGCCTAGGTTTCTTTGAACGTGATATTTCGATATGATATATTTATGTACTTATAAGATCTTATAAACTTATAAGTATATGTGGTTAGTGGGAGTTAATGGATGTTAATGGTATCCAAGCCAATTGTGATCACCATCCATTTTATGATGAAATGGCCATGGCGAGGCCATGACCAGAGGTTTTTAATGGTGAGAAGGTTCAAGTGGAAGTGAGTTGGTGAGGTAGTGACTAACAGTGCGCTATTGAAAATGGCCCATTGATGGTTGATTTACCGAAATGAAAGATGGTGATGAATTCCATGGCTATGTCATGTTAGTTTACTGTAGTTAGTAACAGATGTAACAATTATATCCCATAGGATCCATGGTGCTGCCATATATGGTAACATTTACCATCAATATACCCCATTCATGTTAGTATATATATATATATATACCAGCACCATGGATCCTATGGGTATTGAGTCTGCGGATCCATTGGATCAATGGCTTGGTGAGTTCTTGGAACTTGCTCTCCGTTGAGCTTTGATCGTCCATTGTTACCGCAGGATCTCGCTCTAGACCTCAACCAACCTGAGGACGTAGAAACATGACCCGGAAAATCACCGGCTTCAAACATGTCGCAGAAAATCCATGGTGTTTATCCAGGGTGTTTAGCCATCTGATGTGTTATTTAGTTCTTCAGTTCTTTCAACATCTGTCATCCCCATGACGGATCCATGGTGCTGCTATATATATGGTAACATTTACCATCAATATACCATCAATATACCATCAATATACCATCAATATACCATCAATATACCATCAATATACCATCAATATACACCATTTATGTTAGCATTAATATACCAGCACCAGCCGGATCCGTCATGGGATCCATGATGTTCCATAAAAAAAACCTCCCAGACCTGCTGAGAGGTGATGCATCCTCTTGAGCTTGCCTTCTTCAGATCGCGCAGGCGCGAGACATTCTGAGACCCAAGAACGATGCGGCTTCGCCGAGCAAATACGGCTATTTGATGTGGAAGAAAAACACAATAAATGATCCCCCAGTCACCATTTTTTGGTTGGTATGTAGAAACCATTCCCAGGAAAATGGGTGGTGTATGATTGTTTTACGCACCGTGGCGGCCAGCTTCCTCTTCAAACTGAGCCTTATGAGATTGTTGATGATGAAGCCAGGATCCCTTTTGTAACCGTTGAAGTCGTTCGAAAACACCCTCTTTACAACAACATGTCGCATCATAGCGAGAGGCAAAAAAACAAAAAACAAACCAATTTAGGGTTGAAGTAAACAACAATTCAGAATATCATCCGTAGATTCTCACACGCCACATTTTCATCTTGCAGATACAAATGACATTGCAAATGAAAACGATAAACATGACAAAATGTGTGGTTCAAACATGTGATACATTTTTTGCTTCCAAACGAGCTGGAAACGCTGGTTAAAGAAAAAACACATTTCTCTCAAAACACTATCTAAACTCAGGCATATCTACACTAATTTACTAATGCACGTCCCACACCTGCCACACGAAATGCGCTTGAATTCAGCCAACCAAATTGGTTGTTGTATCAATTTGTTTTCGTGTAGCTTCAACAGCCTCTGGGTTTTCTCTTCGGGGCGCCACAACATTGATGGGGAGTTTGAATGCTGCCCGCATGTTGGCTAACCAAATTTTCGGCCATGTTGGTCAAGCATTTCCCATAGGATCCATGTATGGTATAATATATATATATACTAACATTGGGGGTATATTGATGGTAAATGTTACCATATATATAGCATACATGGATCCTATGGGTTTTGAGCTTGGCCATGGCAGACCGATGCTGGGGAAGGTTCACGTTGCTATGTTTGAGGCCAATCGGTACCTTGGTGGCAAATTGAAATATGTTTTTTGCTGATGCGGTGAAAACCCTATAGCAGCCTCTCCGTACACCGGTGGATAAACTACATCAACAAGCCGTCGCCCCACTTTCCCTACGGTCGCATTTTTTGAAGGTTTTGCAACTTAAATGGTAGCCTGCAGGAAGCAAATTACTGTGAACATGTGTGAACACATTATTTTTCCTAAGTGCCTTGGGCGGATGCACTTAACACGTGAAGATGTGGAGAAAACATGAGAAAACGACCATGTCAATGTGTGCATTTGGATGCGCCAGGGCTACTGGTAGGCTACTGGCAATATGAGAAGTCCTTAGAAACTGTAACACTTGGGTGACTTATGGGGACTTGGCATGACTTGGCCGAAACGCGTCACTTGAAGTGTTTCATGAAACCCATGTGACCTGGGACTGAGACATTGTGTGGTCGTAGTCGTCATCATTTTTCGACATGTGGTCATATGATGTCATATGTGGTCGATGGTCATCCACTCATCATTTTTCGACACAGACATGTGTAGAAACTTGAGCGGCTTTGCAACTTGGATTGTGAAACCCTGAGGCTTCGCTCAACTCCAATCCAGATGCCATCCGCCGGCCGGATTGCAACACCAAAGGTATCGCAAACTCAACGGCTTGGCACGACATAGTGCATGTAAGGACGCATCTTCTAGCCGTTGCCGGATGCATCATCGAGTAGTCGACTGATGAGATTGCCAAGACTTTGGCATGGAAGTGGTGCGCTTGTCAAAAGATAGTTCCGTCCAGAATGTGCAAGTGGAAAACAACATTTTCCATGAGCACCCCGAGTCCACTTGAGGGCAGCCACTCTTGGAGCCAATGGGCTTGTTGTGGACATCCGAGGGAGTCGGACGTCAGTCTTGTGTGACATCTCTGAAACCTTGTTCTACCATCCAGCCGGACCAACAAAAAAAAGGCACGTCTTGTTGCATCCCTTGTTGCATTCGGTCGCCGCGACCTGCACACCGAGCCGGGTTAAACCACCCAATGGGCCACCATAGATCCACTCGATCCAATGGATCCAATGGCGATTTGGCCATGGGATGGCCATGGGATGTCGATTTTCTGCGCCTGCACTGCCTTTTTTGATGTTTCTTGGGTTTTTTTTGTGAAACTCGTTGAGTAGAGTGCGTGCATAGTGGGATAGAGTCCCACGATGGATTCAGGAAATTGGGCAGTCGAATCCCTCGACATTCAGCATTTCTATCATTTTTGTCATTGCGCCCGCAGGATGGTCCCGCAACTCTGTTCAAGCTATTAAGCTATTAGAATAAGCTATTAAGCTATTAGAAAAAGCGATTAAGCTATCAAGCTATTAGAATAAGCGATTAAGCTATTAAGCTATTAGAATCAGCGATTAAGCTATTAAGCTATTAGAATAAGTTATTAAGCTATTCAGCTATTAGAATAAGCTATTAAGCTATTAGAATAAGCGATTAAGCTATCAAGCTTTTAGAATAAGCTATTAAGCTATTAAGCTATTCAAATAAGCGCTTAAGCTATTAGAATAAGCGATTAAGCTATTAAGCTATTAGAATAAGCTATTAAGCTATTACGCTATTAGAATAAGCGATTAAGCTATTAAGCTATTAGAATAAGCGATTAAGCTATTAAGCTATTAGAATAAGCGATTAAGCTATTAAGCTATTAGAATAAGCTATTAAGCTATTAAGCTATTAGAATAAGCGATTAAGCTACCAGTAGTACCCGCACGAGGCAGGGCGGAAGTTGCCCTAAAGATAGATAGATAGATAGATAGATATATATATATATACACACAAGACCTTTCTCATCTATAGAACTTGCATGCACCGTGCGCCAGCCAAGCTCGTGCGTGCGTGCACTCTGCGAAACTGGTGTCTTGTTTCACATGTCACATTTCAAGCTCCACTTCACACTTCACACTTGACAGTCTTCACACTCCACACTACACACTTCACACTGCACTCTTCACACTGCACCCTTCGCAGTCAACACTTCACTTCACACTGCACTCTTCGCACTCCAAACTTCCCACTTCACAGTCCACACTTCACACTTCACAGTCCACACTTCACACTTCTCACTTCTTCCTTTACACTCCAAACTTCACACTTCACACTTCACACTGCACTCTTCACGCCCCACACTTCACACTGCACTCTTCACACCCCACGCTTCATCTCATCTGAGCTCTTCTCACCTTATCCCACCTCAGCTCTTCTCATCTCATCTCTTCTCATATGTCATCTAAGCTTTCATGAATCACTTCCCAGTACTGCTACAACGGAACTTGCATGCGCCGTGCGCCAGCCACGCCCGTGCGTGCGTGCTTTGTGCGAAGCTGTTGCAGTGTTGCTGTCCAGGAACATGACCTGCGCGCGACCCCGGTACAATGCAAACACTTTCCTCACACTTCACATTGCACTCTTCACACCCCACACTCCACACTTCACACTTGCACTTCATGTCAACTCATCTCATCTGAGCTCTTCTCATCTCATTCTATGTCTTCCCATATGTCAGCTAAGTTCTTCTTGCCTATTTTCATGTCAAGTACTTCCCAGTACTGATGTCTACTACAAAAGCTTGCAAAAACTACTTCCCAGTACTACTTTGTACTACAAAAAGCTTGGACAAAGCACTTCCCAGTACTACTTTGTACTACAAAGCTTGCACAAAGCACATTCCAGTACTACTTTGTACTACAAAGTTTGCACAAACTACTTCCCAGTACTACTTTGTACTACAAAGCTTGGACAAAGCACTTCCCAGTACTACTTTGTAATACAAAGCTTGCACAAAGCACATTCCAGTACTACTTTGTACTACAAAGTTTGCACAAACTACTTCCCAGTACTACTTTGTACTACAAAGCTTGCACAAAGCACATTCCAGTACTACTTTGTACTACAAAGCTTGCACAAAACACGTTCCAGTACTACTTTGTACTACAAAGCTTGCAAAACACTTCCCAGTACTACTGTGTACTACAAAGCTTGCACAAGCTACTTTCCAGTATTACTTTGTACTACAAAGCTTGCACAAATTACTTCCCAGTACTACTTTGTACTACACGGCTTGCACAAAGTCCTTCCCAGTACTACTTTGTACTGCAAAGCTTGCACAAACTACTTCCCAGTACTACTTTGTACTACAAGGCTTGCACAAAGTCCTTCCCAGTACTACTTTGTACTACAAAGCTTGCACAAAGCACTTCCCAGTACTGCTTTGTACTACAAAAAGCTTGCGCAAAGCACTTCCGATTGCATCAAAATCACTCAACGACATCGGATCTTCTGCTGCTGTACCGAAAGGCCTATGCAGCCGCAAACATTGCCGTGCCATGTCAGCAACTCCCCGCTACTGAGCGCATTTTTCTTTGGCGCCTGGTCGCCGGCACACCTGCGGTCCCAGGCCCGGGCGCAACACTTGCAGCCATTATTCCAGGACTCTGCAATCTGTTGCCCCGCCAGCCAATACGGCAAAACTCGCTTGCACAAAAGCATGGCCGGAAGCAGCTGCATTGAAAGTCCACCGCCAAGGAATTGGACGGATCCTGGCCTGCGCAATGCCATGCATCGTTCCATGTCCAAAACTCTTCTGTAGTGGTGAGATCTTCATCTCTTTGCATGTTGAGGTCGCCAACCAACAACTGACCGTCTACCTGCAAAGCTTGTAAGGTACACAATGCTGACTCCAGCTCTGCCAAGCGCTGCGGCTGGCCCTCCGGGCTGGCTGTCAAATGTACCGTCCCAATCGCAAGAATGGCACCGTTGCCACGCAGCTGCACCTGCACCGCCAACAACCGACGGGGCGACTCAGGTGCCAAGGGAGACACCGACATGCTCCACTTGCGAATGGTGGCAGTTTTTAGCAGCATGCAAACATCAAAGGGTTCGGCACTGACACTTCCTCGCCCCATGGCCGTGGCAACTTCGTACCCATGGCTGCGAGCAATCTGCAACAAATCTTCAACGCACGACGGCGTGACTTCCTGCAAGCACAAAATATCACACTTGCAAAGTATGTCTTGAAAACCCTCATCTAGGTTCTTTACTTGGATGTTCAGCGTCCCAAAAGTCACACGTACCTCTGCGCAGCTGACATCTGCATTCAAATCTGCTGCAGGCTGGGCACGATTCTCTTCTTGCACTTCGACATACACGGCCGGCACCTCCACACCAACACCACTGTGACGATCGTGCATGTTGCATTTGTCTGTCAGCCTCCTATACCACTTACGGCAATTGTTTGCCATGAGCAATTGCTTCTGGGCAATTGAAATTTGGCACGGGTGCCACTGGTGATCCAAGCAGCATACATTACGTTCGTCCAACAGTTTGACCTCCTGCGCCGACAACTGCGTTTGTTTGCGGGAACCAGCAAGCTTTCACACACAGCAAGCGTTTACACACAGAACACTTACGCACAGTGCTTTTACACATGGCAAGCGTTTACCCACACAGAAACTTTTACACAGAGACGCTTTTACACACAGAGAAGCTTTTACACACAGAGAAGCTTTTACACACAACAAGCTCTTACACAGAGAATCTTTTACACACCCCCTCCATCACTCCCTCACTGACTCACTCACCCCCCCACACACTCATTCACTCACCCATTCACTCACTCACCCCCCCCCACGCACTCACTCACTCATTCACTCACCCACTCACTCACTCATTTTCTCTCTCTCTCTCTCTTTCTGGCTCTCTCTGTCTGTAAAAGTCCCCTCCCAACCTTCTTGCACATACATCTATCTATATATCTATCTATCTATATATATATATATAAATATCCGTCGGATACACACAGCAAGCTTTCACACACAGCAAGCGTTTACACACAGAACACTTACGCACAGTGCTTTTACACATGGCAAGCGTTTACTCACACAGAAACTTTTACACAGAGACGCTTTTACACACAGAGAAGCTTTTACACACAGCAAGCTTTTACACAAAATCTTTTACACACAGCAAGCTTTTACAGAAAAAAGTTTTTACACAGAGAAGCGTTCTTGTACATAATCACAACAGGAATTGCAGCTCCAAAACCGGATCTCGACGCCAAAGCGACAAAAAGACGATTTTGAAGCACTTTTTAAAAGGAATTTTAAAAAGAAAATTATTAGCGCCAAAATTGAGAAAATCTGCTGACAAATGACTGTAGCAGCCTTGATGCAGCCACTCCAATATACTATTTACGAGATCCAGCTGCAAAAGACAATAATAGTATTACGCATGCAGCCGCGGCACGAAGCAACCTTGACGCAGCCATTACAATGCGATCTGCAGAGACTGAGTTGCAAAACACAATAGAACTACGCGCAACAGCGTCGGAAATTGCAGCTCCAAAACCGGATCTCGACGCCAAAGCGACAAAAAGACGATTTTGAAGCACTTTTTAAAAAGGATTTTTTTAAAAAAAAATATTAGCGCCAAAATTGAGAAAATCTGCTGACAAAACAACACCAGAACACCAGATGACAAGAGTCATGCAGCCATTCCAATGCGATCTGCATGCACAGATTCCAAAACACCCTATAACTACGCACACACAAGCACACCCAAAGCAGCTTGAAGCCACCGTTACAATGCGGCAAAAAAAAAGGCAAACCGACCCCAGCCGCAACCGCCGCACAGACGAGGTACCTTTCATCGTTGCCTGCAGCCACTTTACACGGAAAAACACAAGGTTTCGTGCTCCGGCTTCCTCCCCAAAACATAGCCCATGCAACATCATGCAGCCATTACAATGCGGTTCGCAGCATCAACTTGCAAACCTGCACCTATCTACGCACAGAACAACACCAGAACACCAGATGACAAGAGTCATGCAGCCATTCCAATGCGATCTGCAAGCACAGATTCCAAAACACCCTATAACTACGCACACACAAGCACACCCAAAGCAGCTTGAAGCCACCGTTACAATGCGGCAAAAAAAAAGGCAAACCGACCCCAGCCGCAACCGCCGCACAGACGAGGTACCTTTCATCGTCGCCTGCAGCCACTTTACACGGAAAAACACAAGGTTTCGTGCTCCGGCCTCCTCCCCAAAACATAGCCCATGCAACATCATGCAGCCATTACAATGCGGTTCGCAGCATCAACTTGCAAAGTTGCACCTATCTACGCACAGAACAACACCAGAACACCAGATGACAAGAGTCATGCAGCCATTCCAATGCGATCTGCAAGCACAGATTCCAAAACACCCTATAACTACGCACAGACAAGCACACCCAAAGCAGCTTGAAGCCACCGTTACAATGCGGCAAAAAAAAAGGCAAACCGACCCCAGCCGCAACCGCCGCACAGACGAGGTACCTTTCATCGTCGCCTGCAGCCACTTTACACGGAAAAACACAAGGTTTCGTGCTCCGGCTTCCTCCCCAAAACATAGCCCATGCAACATCATGCAGCCATTACAATGCGGTTCGCAGCATCAACTTGCAAACCTGCACCTATCTACGCACAGAACAACACCAGAACACCAGATGACAAGAGTCATGCAGCCATTCCAATGCGATCTGCAAGCACAGATTCCAAAACACCCTATAACTACGCACACACAAGCACACCCAAAGCAGCTTGAAGCAACCGTTACAATGCGGCAAAAAAAAGGCAAACCGACCCCAGCCGCAACCGCCGCACAGACGAGGTACCTTTCATCGTCGCCTGCAGCGACTTTACACGGAAAAACACAAGGTTTCGTGCTCCGGCTTCCTCCCCAAAACATAGCCCATGCAACATTCATGCAACCAGTACGATACGTTTCGCAGCATCCCGTAGCAAACCTGCACCTATCTATGCACGTGGCAACATCAGATGACGACAATCAAGCAGCCATTCCAATGCAATCTGCCACCACAGCTTCAAGAAACGCATAGAACCACGCGCACAGGAACAAGCATTGTTGCAAAACACATAGAAGGAACCAAACGACCCCAGCCGTATTGTTATGTAGTGCAAAGTCTCACACCACCCTTCATCGAGATCAATTCTTTTCTGATGTATTGTTATGTAGTGTAAAAGTCTCACACCACCCTTCATCAAAGCCAGTTCTTTGCTGATGTATTGTTATGTAGTGCAAAGTCTCACACCACCCTTCATCAAGGTCAATCCTTTTGTGATGTATTGTTATGTAATCTAATGTCTCACACCACCCTTCATCAAGGTCAATTCTTTTCTGATGTATTGTTATACAATGTAAAGTCTCACACCACCCTTCATCAAGGTCAATCCTTTTGTTGTGTATAATTATGTAATGTAAAGTCTCACACCACCCTTCATCAAGGTCAAGTCTCAGTCGCGCACCACCCTTCATCATTTCAAGTCTCAGAATTCTATTTGTCCGTAACACGGAAGTATTGCTTCCCAACTTCCTTTGGGATAGTAGTTTAGAATGGAAGCGAGGAAGAGATGGGCTGGGGCGGGGTTAAGTGAAAGACTTTTTTTTTATTTTACCTTAAGTATAAGCTATTAGGAATAAGCTCATAAGCGATTAAGCTATTAAGCTATTAGAATAAGCGATTAAGCTATTAAGCTATTAGAATAAGCGATTAAGCTTTTAAGCTATTAGAATAAGCGATTAAGCGATTAAGCTATTAAGCTATTAGAATAAGCGATTAAGCTATTAAGCTATTAGAATAAGCGATTAAGCTATTAAGCTATTAAGCTATGCGATTAAGCTATTAAGCTATTAGAATAAGCGATTAAGCTATTAAGCTATTAGAATAAGCGATTAAGCTATTAAGCTATTAGAAAAAGCGATTAAGCTATTAAGCTATTAGAATAAGCGATTAAGCTATTAAGCTATTACACTAACAGCTTAATAGCTTAACGGCTTCTCCAAACAGCTTAATAGCTTAACAGCTTCTCCAAACAGCTTAATAGCTTAACAGCTTAATAGCTTAACAGCTTCTTCAAACGGCTTAATAGCTTAACAGCTTAATAGCTTAACAGCTTCTCCAAACAGCTTAATAGCTTAATAGCTTATCGGCTTCTCCAAACAGCTTAACGGCTTAATAGCTTAACGGCTTAATAGCTTAACGGCTTAATAGCTTAACAGTTTGTCCTAACAACTTAACAGCTTAATAGCTTAATAGCTTAACAGCTTAATAGCTTAACAGCTTATCCTAACAGCTTAATAGCTGATTCGATTTGCGGACGATCCTGCCGGGACCCTGATTTTTGTCCAGTTGCACCATGATCAGATATTTGAGCCATAGATGGTCATAATTTCTGACCATATTATGACCATATTTGACCATATTATGACCGCCACATGTCCCATTTCAGACTGAAGACTCAACCCGTCTCGCCCCCATCGTTCGCGGAACCATCGTTCGCTTGGCGTAAACGCGAAGAGGGCCATGGGAAGCGTGAACAGCTGCGAAACTCCGGTCCTCTCCGAAGCCCCAGTGTCCAAAGACAAAGCCATTCGGCAGATTTAGTCATAATATGGTCATAATATGGTCATAATATGGTCATAATATGTCATAATATGGTCAATGGCCAAATATTGTCATATATTGTCAATGTGCCAATACATTGCAGGATCATTGCAGGTACAATTTGGACACTTCCAGCATGAAACAGCTGCTTGATATGGGTATGGATCAATACCTATTAATACCATTTTTAGTGGGATGAACATCCATTTACCAGCTATTTTGATGTTCACCAGGGGTACAAGGTTTTGACACACTGCTATATCTGCTTGATCTTTTGGTATCTCTTTGTTGCTTTTTAAGGATGACTATTGCGACTATGCTGGACCTGGACCCTGGTACACCTGCAAGCCGGATGGTCTCCATGTGGAACGCTTTGCCAAAAAGGGCCCTGCCAGCAGAGAAGGATGTGTTCCCACCACTCTACCCGAGCTCTTGAAGAGGGTCACTTATCTGTAGCCTGTAGCATAGTTTTTTTTAGATGGAACAGATACTGAATGATATTGAGAAAAGGAAAAACATATTATATGTAAACAATATGTGAACTAGAGATTTGATTGGATCTCCACTACTTTCCACTGTTAGTTTCTACTCTTGATTTCTGTTTCTACGGTGCAGATCGCTCCGTGATTTTTTGAGGCAGCTGAGACCAAGTGGGACAAACCCGCCTTGAAAATCGAGAGGCCATTGCCAGCCTTGGATTCTGAAGGAAAGGCACCAGAGTCTCTGCCCGATGATCAGTGGAAGACGTGGACATGGAAGCAGCACTACGATGAGTCGAGAAAGGCAGCCAAGGGGTTTCTCGAGCAACTTTTGATTGATATTATAATATAAGATATTATAAGATCATATCGGAATAATTTATTTTGTCTGACAATATCAGATGAGATTCAACAGATTCCAATTCGCAATGATGTACCTTCATGATGCAACACGTTACATCAACATCCACATTTTTTTTTACATTGCTGTGATCAGCCGAGGTTCATTAAGCTGGGGCACCAACCCTTTGATGCTGTGGCCATGTGGGGTTTCAACGCTCCGGAGTGGATGTTCAGCACCTTCGCTGCCATGATGGCGGGCGGCATGGCTGGTGGTCTCTATCCAACGGACACACCCGAGACGGCGGCATTTAAGGTGGCGCACAGCGGAGTGACATGGCCCGGAGATGCATCTGGATGTACTATATATATAATATATATAATAATAACAATATATAGAATCTAATCTATCTATCTTTTTACGGCATATCCAGTATAGTCCGTATAGCCGGTATAGTAATTCAATTGATTGTAAAAAAACTGGAATAACAAGCAAGTATAGAAAGTATACGGCCAGATGCCATTGTTTGCCTGTGTCCCGAATTGGTGTCCAAATCCCAATCATCATCATCATCATCATCATCATCATCATCATCATCATCATCCCCCGAACCCCAACAAGTAGCAAGTGTTATGGTGCCCGTGTGCATAGCCCCTTCCTGGAAATAGGAGAACATGTCCATATGTACAAATGTGTACTCTACACATGCGGCTCACATGCGCGCAGACACCATGTTGTCTATATGATTCTATATGGGCAAACGACGGTGTCTGCGCGTAAGTAGAGTAGGTGCATCTTTGGCCAATCCTTTTTGCAGGATGGACATCATGATCATCATGTCCTTGAAGTTTGTATTCTTTCATGCATCTTAACCCATAGGATCCATGGTGCTGCTATATATGGTAACATTTACCATATTTTACCATCAATATACCCCAGTCATGTTAGCATATATACCAGCACCATGGATCCGTCATGGGTATTAGAATTCGCTGCCCTTTGAGGCGAGCATCGTTGTCTTTGAAGACAAACCCAAGTTGGATAAACTGCTGAAGGCTGGTCACGCCATGCACGTCACGCAAGATGCACGTCACACGCGCCTTGAAGCTGAAGGCTTCTCTGACATCTCGTGACATCCCTATTGAAGTATCAGCACCTAATAAATCAATAATCCACATTACGGTATAATGATGTTTATAGATGTTTATAGTATATATAGTTTATAAAATATATTAACAATAATCTAACAATAAAGATTGATTATGTTTATAGTATATATAGTTTATAAAATATATTAACAATAATCTAACAATAAAGATTGATTATGTTTGTAGTATATATAGTTTATAAGATATATTAACAATAATCTAACAATATAAACATGATTATGAACAGTAATATCATGTACCCTGTGGTGAACTAACATAGCAATGGAAAATGGCTATTTATAGTGGATTTTCCCATTAAGAATGGTGATTTTCCATTGCTATGTTAGTTCACCAGAGGGTAATATCACCTATAATTCTTGGACCTTGTGAGGCCTTAGCAGCGCGTCAAGACGCCAAGCCTCCCAGGGTCAAGGCCTTTGTGACCTACGGCTACACTCCGGCTGCAGGCGCCTTGGTGCCACGACTTGGAATTCAGCCATTTTCAGCCAAGTTGGTGATCAACAGATATCCAAAATACATATTTTGATGTATTTATTCACCATATTTTGTGATCAACAGATATCCAAAATGCATCAAAATACATCAAAATACTCGAAACCATGGAATCAATACACAGTAATGTGACATTCATCAATGCAACATACAGCAAATGCTCGATGTTTGATGTCCATTGCATGGAGCACAGGAGAGACTGTGGACGTCAAGGGCCGAAAGGTCCCAGTGCTGAGTTGGAGTGACGTGATCGAGATGGGAGGCAGCTTGGCATGACGCGGTTACGATGATTCGGGGACTCAGAATGTCATAGGATCCATGGTGCTGCTATATATGGTGCTCCATGGATCCCATCAATATACCCCCTTTATGTTAGCATATATACCAGCACCATGGATCCTATGGGAATGTTATTCCTCATCATTTTTCATCATCGATGATCGACTTCTGCCGTTCCATGCCTCTTTCATCATTGTGTTCATCATTTTTAAATTTAAAAAATAGTATTTCATCAACTTTCATCATTTGTTGATCAGATTCCCTCAGATTCCCTCAGATTTTTCAGATTCTCCGGCCATTCCTTTCCGGGGTCTTCCCGGGGTCTTCCCGGGGAAGACCCCCGGGGTCCCGGGGTCTGCCCAAGGCAAGGAGAGCAATGGTGAAGTGGAGCAACGCACCAAGGCGCTGAAGCCGGGACAATGTGCTGTGCTGGTCTACACTTCGGGCACCACCGGAGATCCCAAGGTGGTCTGACGGTGGCGGAGGATTTTTTGGGATTTTTTGGTCCCGATTTCACCGGTTGGATGCGTTGGATATGATAAGTTAACCATCGGTCAATGTATAAGTTGGATGAACATGGTGAATAAGATGGCGAATGTTCCCATGTTCCCATAGATGTCATGATTTTCATGGCTCTGAACACTCTGAAAAGTTGTGAACAGTTGGATGAACATGGTGAATAACACCATGGTGACATGTGTCTCACGCTGGAACCGAAGAAACTGGATGGATTTGGACTGTTCGAAAAATTGCCATGCTCTTCCTGGTATGACATGTGAAAACACCAAGCCATTGGACCATATCGGACCAAAACATTCCTCACAGGCAGTGATGCTCTCCCACGACAATGTGCACTACGCGGGAGTGTCTGTATTCATGACCACACTGAAACAAGGTAGGCCCGGTGGGCTGTAGAAAAAACTTCGACGGCCATGATACATCATGATACATAGTTCCATATTCCACTCAGATTCTTTTTTTCAGGCGCTCCAGGCTTTCTCGAGGGAGAGTGTCAAGAGCGCCTTTTGTCCTATTTGCCCCTTTCGCACATTGCTGGTATGGCCGTGGACATCACCATGTGAAATGCTCAGCGCTGACGATTTGTCATCATGGCGGGCCAAAATTGCCCCAAAAAATTGCTTTTCCGAGGCCTGCGGTGCTTACAGCATTGAGCTCCAATCACGAAACTCGGCCGCAACGGGCTCCGTCAAAAAAAATTGAGCGTCACCTTGTTCTGATGTCAAATCCGGATGTGATTTCCTGTCCAGGTTCTGTGATCAACAGAAGTTTCGAAATGTTTTGATTTTGATTCAGGTTGCTTATATATCTTATATTACATCAAATGTGTATCATATTTGTTCATATTTGCTCATCTTTCTTCATATCTCCTGAAACAGTCAGTCTTCGTAGCTGCGTAGCTCTTCGTTCTCGCCAAAGTTGGCTGAGATGACGACCTACTTTGCCCGGCCCTATGACATGAAAGCAGGGACCCTGAAAGATCGGCTCTGCGCCGCCTCACCGACTCTTATGCTCGCCGTGCCATTGGTGTGGGAGAAGACTCTTAGCAAAGTCTGAGAAAATCATAGAAAATCTCTTAGCTGTCTTGCCTTAACATTAATGTCATCACAAAAAGACATTAAAGATATGAATTATTCAGAGACATAAAATAGCTGTTTGGATCAGGTTCTTTGATGTTTGTTTATACATGTTTATTAACACAGTTCGATGATTTCTGCGTCGATGATCCCTGGCAGCTCATCCAATGACCTGATTCCAATGGTTCCAATGGAGCTGATCTGGAGGATTGCTGACAAACTTCGATCCTTAGGAGCAGCCAATTCAGGACGATTCCAAGCGCAAGCAGCTGTTTTATCTGCTCATCTTGAAATGTTTCTTAAAAAGAAACAACTTTTGGATAGCGACAGAATGTGTTCGATGTATTTTCGAAGTCTTGTCGTTTCTGAAGTTTTTTCTCGCCATCCAAAATCACGCTGGCGTCGCAGGACTGAAGCAGACCATCGGCACCTGGGCTAAAGATCTTGGCCTGCAAAGATCCAAGGCCTGTTTGATGGGAGGCAGGGCTCACGGCATTGCGACAGCATTGCAACAGCATTGCAGCAGCATTGCAGCAGCATTGTAACACTATGACCAGCTGGTTTTTGATTTTGCCAAGCTAGCTAAACTCTCCAACCATGGAAACATATGGACACAAAGTTGCAGTGAAAGTTGCATGGCAGGCGATGGGTCTTATCCAACGGGCTACACTCTGGCAGACATGTTGGTCTTGAGCAAAGTGAAAGCCGCTCTGGGGTTGGATCAACTGAAGTATGCCGTTACAGGAGTTTGGGAGTTTGTCCGATTTCCAGCAGATTCCAAGAGATCCCAAGAATTCAACTTAACAATTCTCAAGAGATCCCAACCCGCATCACTCAGTTGCAGTGTCACAGCATGTCACAGCATGTCACAGCATACTTTGATGGGTCAGGAGCTGCTCCCATCCGTGTGGACACTTTGGAGTACTTTGGATCGTTGGGCCTGGACATCCATGAGTTGTACGGCATGTCAGTACCACGGCGGATTTGGACAAAATATGTGATGATGAGAATTGGATCTTAAGTCATATTTGTCATGCTTGTCAGGATGTCAATTAACTATAGAAATTGGCATGCAACTGCGAGTTTTTGTTTTCATCGTGGTGTTTGTTAGTCAATGCCTTGTGGCATTTAAGTGAAGTCGCATTTGTTGCTTCCAGGAAAGTCACGGCTGCTCTACAATCTCCACACCCGCTTGCCA